TATTTTCGACCATAATTATCGTATCCTCTTCAAATTTAGTTGACTCGAATGAGAATACTATTCATTTGAAATTGGCAAAGATTCTTAATTATATCTGCACTCAATAGTATCTGAGCAAGTTTTAAACTTCATGGACGAATTTACCATGATTTTACTTAAAATTGTGTTATTTCACTCGAACCACTGTATCTCGTGAACTGTTCGGACTTTGGGGAAAATTTTTGGCAGGCTTTCGACTTGGACCAGTACCAGTAAGTACACAGAATAGTATCAAATTCTGTAGGGTATCATGTAGACTCAAATTTTGATATTGCTTGGATCTCACGAGGACACGTTCTTACGCATATTCGAATGCAGTATTCTAGGAGTCTCGACAGCATTGATTGGGTTTAAATAAAAGCGATATCGAATTCGCGACTTCTTTGTCTTTTGTGGTCAGTTGACTGTAATTTAAAGTTACAAACATTTGTAATACATCAGTGCTAATATAATAAACAAATTAGTTCATGATTCACTTGTACGATTTTTATACACTTGTTGTGAGGTATCACAAACTCACTCGCTCGAAGACTCTCTCGTTTGTTTGCAATTCACAGCTCCTGCAAATCCTACGCGCTCACCCACCATGAAGTAATCTATATTTAAGTTATTTTGTTCCATCAAAGATAAGTTTGATCTATCGACTGGAGTACAGTTATTCATGAGGCGAAACAACACAAAGCTGGGGTTTTGAAAAGGCATCTATTCTCGCACAAAATTCCATTCTGAAATGGAATTTCATTCCAAAGCTATTGCAAGAGTTACCAATGTACTGAATGGTTTATATTGTGCAAGAGGAGTGCGGGGGAATTCCCTTTTTTTTCGTACTACTATTCCATAGCTCCCATTTTCTTCAATATCTTAAGGTCCTATCGACCAATATCTATTCTTGCACGCCAGATGGTTTCGTGGTAGAGCCAATTTATACTGTGAACGCCTGGGTGCCGTCGTTTATGCTCCTCGAGCTCCCGAATGTTTACAAAAACTTCCAATGTGAAACTGGTGCAGAACTTATTGCTATTTATTACAGGGCACTACTGCTTTCAAACACTAATTTTGAATCATTTTTGTCGTTCCATTATCATTTCCATCCTCCTCGATTTTTGTATCAATTAGTTT